CCCAGACGGCCCAGGCGGCCCAGGCAGCCCAGGCGGCCCAGGCGACCCAGACGACCCAGGCGACCCAGAAGAACCAGGCGACCCAGGCGGCCCAGGCGACCCAGGTGACCCAGGCGACCCAGACGACCCAGACGACCCCCAGCGCCACTGGCCTGAGTCTTCCCGGCCTCTACACTCTGGTCTGTTCAAGCCTCTCTCCTGAGCTGCCTTTGCCTCGTGGGGGAATCACACTGTGACAACAGGGATTGTCGGCAGGTAGGTGGGGATTCTCTGTTTCTTTCAAGTGTCCCTGACTGATACTCTCCCCACCTGTGTCCCGCCACCCATGAGTTCGGCAGACCAGAACCTTCCAGTGACCGCTACTAGCTCTCATGCCACGTCTCCCATTGACTGGTAAAGCCAGGTGCTCTGACGCAGATCTCTGCTCCTTCCTGTCTCTTGCCCTCTCTGCACTTCCCCAGTGACTCAGACAGTCACTCCCCGAGCAGTGACGAGCCCGAGGATGCAGTATGGCACCCATGAATTATTAACTACTATCATCCGAAGGCAAGGCACTCTCAGTAACCCGAGAGGAAGGGCAGATCGGAGGCTGAAAGCACGCACACCCAGGATGCGTTTTCTCAATGACTTTGGCATATGGCTTTCTGTTCTGCTTTTTTTCTGCACACAGCTACTTTTGCAATCATAACTGGGGCTGTGGGCCAACTTGGTCCCTGGATGCTTGGGCAGGGGACTGGCTGTAGAGAACTCTTCCTGATTATGGAAGCAGCAAGAGCATTGTGAACCCCTTCCAAGGAGCTGCTGTGATTGCAGTCGGCCGGCCACCACAAGGTGAGAAGAAAGTGTTGATACAGAAAGGCTGAGTCAGAGAGCTGCTTCGTTCGGGAAGCCTGTCCGCGTGCCCTCCACCCCAAGCACCCTCTCCCTCTCCCCGCCACCTCCCCGGTGAATGAAGGGATGCTATTTTGGAGTGCTTGGAGAAGGGCAGGAGGCTGCTGGTTACCAAGCCCGCTGTGGGAGGAAGGGACAGAAGCATCATCGAGGTTTTGCTAAACACAGATGCTGTTCCCTGACCTTCACTCAGTTGCTGCTCGCTCCTGCGTGCGTTTTCTTTGCCAAAACCACACCGGGAGGAAACGACGGAGACAAAGAAGTGACCGTGGAGCCAATTTCTATTTCTAGCCTGTGGTTGACCCTGGCAAGGAACCTTGAGCAGTTCATTAACCCCTCCCTAGGGTGAGTATATTGGGTTCCAACTTATGTCAAGGAACTCCTGTGAAAATGGATAACTTGAGATTTTAAAGTGCCCCGAGATGCTGGAAGAGATAAGCAAACAATATCTCTGTGTTTGAGCCCACGTTATGGGCTGCCCTTGAAACCTGGCGTTCCCTGAAACTGGGCAGGCTGGCTCCTTCACTTGGGGACCAAATGCAGAATCTACTTAGGGTTAGTGATGAAAATAGCTGCTATTTATCACAGATTGGAAATGTGCCAGCCGCTAGGGATCCTGTAACAACCTATGGTACAGTTGAGGAAACAGGAGTCCAGAGGGGTTGGATAACTTTCCCAGAGCTCACGCAGCCCAAGAGCCAGTGAGTGCTGGCCTCCCGAGGCCTGGGCCTGTGCTTTCCCTTGGCGTTGGAGTGTATTTAATAACCAGATGCCTCATCATCTGTGAGCCCTTGCTACATGTTCTGCAAAGTGGGGTAGGAGAGAGGAACCGTGGAAGCAGACGTGAAGCAGACGAGGAATGGGAGACACCCAGCGCCTTGGAGCCCTGAGGGAAGGGGGTCAGTATGGCCTGGACTTCCGGGAAACAGCAGCGAGGAGGAGACTCAAGCAGTCATTTGCTGCCTTCTAAACACTCAGAATATTTAACCTCCCTGGAATCAGAAAGACAGTAGTATCTGTTGCCGGTGGGAGAAGCCTGGAGAAACAGCCCTTTTGTAGCCAGACCCGAACGCCATCTTGTTCTGATTGGCACCCTGGGGTTAAAGGTGCTCTGCACGCCCATCCGCCGGAAACTGTCAGTGTTACACGTCACCTATCTCAGCGGCAAAAGGAAGACACCTGCGTGTTTCCCAAGTGTGTATAGCTAAAGAATTCTTTTTTCCCAGCACTTATGCCAATACTTCATAGATTTCCAAAGCTGGGAGCCACTGATGTAGAAGAGAGCATCTCAATGGAAATAGAGGCAATTTACAATCCTCAAGCAACTCAAAAACCAAACGCCCTTTAGGTCTAATGTAACTTTCACTGTTAAGGCGTCTGTCATGCCTCACAAATCACGCTTTTGATGTTTGGGGTTTCCCACGTTACTACCGCAGCCAGACTATGACTGTCTCCCGTACGAATTCTTGGCTGGTGTGCCTTTTCATGTCCTATGGCTCCCAGCCCACACCTTGTCTAAAGAAGTTTTAAAATATTAGTTTAAAAGCAGAGCGCATAAAGAAGAAAACGAGAGGGGGAAAAATCTCACTTGGACGGGTAGCAATTATTGGTAATTTGCAACTGATTACTTCTTTCCTTGTTAATTGCTACGCATCAATCAGCACTCTTTAAGAGTTGTACATTATTTGAAATGCAAAATAATGCAAATTTTTGTCTTGGCTCTGGTCAGAAGTGAGTCTGCAGTTACAGGGAGTCAGCTCTGGAGCATGACCTCTAAAACACATCTTCTTTTATTGCTTTGGCTTCTGCAAACTGGAGGTGCCTGGGAGGCTGCAGCTTGGGAGTCTGCTATCTGGATGCAAATCCCTGGATCAGCAAGATGCTTGTCATCTCACTGACTCTCCTGATGTCACTTGCAGAACGAGGGTGGTAGGCAACGTGTAAGTGCTAGGGACCTTTTCATTCTCAGGCACAACCCCCTGCCCAAATACGCCTTCCTCTCCCACTCTCTAGACCCAGCCCCCGGGACGAGAGAGGCCGCTACTCTCCTGAGAGGTTACTGACTTGTTGGGAGGTTCGTCTTAAAGGTTCTTCTTGCCCTGACTCCCTAACCCAATCCCCTTTCTTAAAAATAAATCTATTTATATATGCACACAGAACTGAGGTACAGGCCAGAGGTGAGGGGGTGAGAGGATTCCCCAGAGACAGAGTGGGCAGCAGAACAGGCAGATCTACTGAAATACACTGCTGAGGGGAGCAGCGTGCAGGACAGCAGAGGTCTGCGGCTCCATGCGTGTCACTCCCTGGGCAGCACGGAACTCATGCTGCAGTGGCTGTGGTAGCTCCATAGCGCTGCACTTTAACCATTGCGTCACTGGGGAGATCTCCAACCCCATTTTGAAACTAACCCCCCCAGGATAAGTGAGCCACAAGTCATTTGCCACTGGTGGGACAGACAGGGGTTTCTTTATGTACTGGCTTTCTTTCCTTTCATTCTTTTCTTTTTTCAGGAGGGTGTGGGGGAAGAAAGGAGAACACTCCTGAAGGGGTAGAGACCTACATAGGATAAAAGATGCCTCTGCATGTTGGTAGCGTTCAACAGCACAAACCCAGGGGCCTAGGGTTGACACAGTGGGTGGCTGTGCTCTACAATGCAGGACTGGACCCAAAAGCAGACACACATGGACACACGGAGGAACAGCCTCGGAGGTGACACTGGAAGTGGGGGGCTTCCAGCAGGCCGCAGGTGGAATCCACTGAGCAGAGACCAGGGCCCGAGCTGAAGCGGCACACGGTAACCTGCCACGGACACCTGTCCTCGCCAGTGGGTCTGTCCCCTGCCCACCCCTGCTGTAGGCTGCTGGTGCAGGGGTGAGACAATTCACCCAGGGCAAGCAGAGAGCAGAAAAGGTGGAGGGACCGAAATACGGCGGGGAGACAGGCGGGTGTCCTGCCTCACCGGTGGCTTGACGGCAAACACGCCAGCAGATCAACTGCCAAGGCCGGGGGGACACGCTTTTCCCACCAGCCTCTGCCCGGGTAGGGGCTTGCCACGCTCCTCCTCCTGCCCCGGGGCTGGCGGCGTGCCCCTCCCGGCCTGGCGCGCCTCAGGTGCCCCCGCTTTGGTCTGCAGTTCTGGCTCCTGAGGGGAAAAGTTGAGCTTGGCTGTGTTTTTTCCGTCCCTGCTCCCCCCGCTTCTTGGGTTCACAGTATCTTGCAAGCATTTTTGTCCTTTGGTGTGGAAACCGCCCATCCTTGGTCTTCACAAAGCCGGGAGCTTCCAGGGATCGCTGGGCTGGGTGACCCACACACCTGGGGAAGTCGTGGCTGCCCCTGGGGAGACTGTAGGGGCTGGGCTGGGGCTCAGGGTGACTCCTGCAGGGCCTGTGGTCACCGCCCCTCTATGGGGTGGGGGAGAGTTTCAGTTTGCCCAGCTATTTAGAGGCTGGAAGGAGTGGGTGGAGAACTTCAGAGACTTGAAATCTGAACAGCCGTTGTTTGACTGCTGAAAACAAGGGGCTTCTCAGCTGCCACATGGCCCACCAGGCCTGTAAAGTCCAGTTGGGGCAGTCGTGACCCCTGCGGACGAGCTGTGCACACCCAGGGCCCGTCCCCCACTTTGGAAGTGTCTGCGGACAGACTGGGGCCGCATGTCCGGTGGCCTTGCTCCCCAGCTGGCTGGTCAATGTAAACTGCCATGGCCGTGCAGGACCCCGTGTTCAGATTCCCACTTCGCTCCCACTGACCCCTGCAGGGTTTTTCACACAGCGGCCTCCTTTTTGGGGGAGCAGCTGCAAATTAGAAGGCTATTTTAAAATCTGCTATTGAGAGAGGAGTGTCGGAATCCTCACCCTACCCCTGACTTTCCCGACACCTGCTAAGGAGCCTGAGTGTTCGCTGCCCTCAATCTCTGTTCCTAGCCGGCTGCCAACTATCACACCCACTGGAGCAGGGTGTGTGGACAGCACAGCGGGTCAGAGTTTGACCCCACCCATCCAGTCACAAGTCCTCTTCCTTGTGATTCTCCTCATCACCTGCCTCTCTTGGCCATCTGGTCGCCCCAGTGTTCTGCCCAAAGAGGAAACGCAATCTCGTGGGCCAGCCTCTCCCCACATTAAAACTTAAGACCAAGGGCCAGGAGAAACAGGGCTTCAAGCAGCACCATCAGTTGGCTTGAATGCAGGGGTGCGAGGGTGGGGGGCTCACAGAGAAGCCCCATGTCTGTGACCACACACCCATGTGCTTCCAGGCTTTCTGTGCTGAACAAACATATTTGACTCTCACCTTTAGTTTTGGCGGTTTCAGCCTTGATAATGTAGTAGCTGGTGACTGTCTCAGAATTCTTTATTCCTAGCACGCGCAGAGGCCAACATTCTCTGTGCTCTTCCTTTGTGCCAAGCCAAGTGTTACCTGTACATTAACCCATTAAGTTGACAGAACAGTTCTACAGGGAAGGTTCAGGTATCACCCCAATATTTCTGATGAGCTAGCTGACCACTCACGAGGGTAAGCAACTTGTTTAAGATTATAAGGCTCCTGTGTCAGCAAGAAACAGGTGACAGAGACAGTTTTACAGCCGCACCACTTCTCGTGAACACAGTGACTTTCTGTTGTCCTGGATGAAGGCCTTTCCATTTTACCAAGTCTAGGTCTTGTATACATTGAGCTAACACAGGGATTTGCAAATTGCTGTTCGTGAGCCAAGTCTCTCCTCAGGCCATTTTTGTAATGCCTACATGCCTACACACTAAGAATGTTTTTTTTTTTTTTTTAACATTTTTCAAGAGTTGTTACATACACACACCTTGAATTGTGTGTTAAGATGGTAACTTTTTTTTCTGACTGAACCTTTACATAATTTTTTAAAATTGTGATTAAAAACATATAGCATAAATTTCCCATCTTAACCACTTTTAAGTATCTTGCTCAGTAGTATTAAATATATTCACATTGTTGAGAAACACATCTCCAGAACATTTTGTCTCACAAAACGAAAACTCTGTACCCACTCAACAACAACTGTCTGTTTCTCTGGAAATCACCAATCTACCCTGTTTCTATGACTTGATTACTTCAGATACTTCCTGGGAGCGCATCCCATCATATGTATTTTGTGACTCGCTTATTTCTCTTAACATAATATCATTGAGATTCATCTACCTGGTAGATGAATCTGTTGGTTGTATCCTTTGATACACAAAAGTTGAAGTTTGATATAATCCCACTCATCTATTTTCACTTTTGCTATTGTGCCTTTTCATGTTTTATTTATGCATAAAAGAACTGGGGTACAGCCCAGAGATGCAGAGAGTGAGAAGCTTCACCAGAGACGGAATAGGGAGAGAACAGGCAGATCTACTAAAATACACTGTCTCAGCGGGGCGACAGGAGAGGCCTGCTTCACCCTGTGGGTCACTCTCTGGCTGGGGATCAAATTGCTACCACAGTGGCTGGCCATAGCTCGACAGCACCGAGAACTTAACCCCTGCACCCACCTATGCTTCTGGCATTATATCCAAAGACTCGTTGTAGATCATGTGTTATAAAGGTTTTCTCCTCTATTTCTTATCAAGGAGTTTTATAGCTTCCAATCTTATGTTTAGATCTTTAATTCACTTTGAACTTTTTTCGGAAAAAACTATGGTGTAAGATATTGGCCCAGTTTCATTCTTCTGCATGTGGATATTCAGTTTCCCCTTCTATGTGTTACGTGTATTTTAACACTTTTTTTAAGGGGGGGGAGACAAAAAATGTTATTCAACAGACAGTCTCTGGCCCACAGAGCCTAAAATATTTACTATATACTGTGATCCTTTGCAGAAAAGGTGTGTTGACACCCGAGCTGCACACCTGGTATTCTGTTGCACCAACATCGTCCTGCGGACAGTAAGCCCGGCGTGATGTCTGCTGTCCCCCACCTCTCTCTGGACTGTGCTGCTCAGACTGCCCTTGACAATTTAAAGCCGAATGAATTCGTTCTGCGCGTGAAGATGGAGGTGCCGTTGGGAATTTTTAAATCCCTGCTGTGTAAACTTGGGCCAGCCGGCAGATGGTTTCTTGGTTGTGAGACAAGAAGGAGAAATTTTGGCCTGGGAATGGAGGGAACTGAAACAGGGCACAGTGACCAGTGCTCGGGGAGACTTTGGCAAGGAGCTCTGGAGGCTTCTTAGAAGGAAGAACCACTATGAGTCACAGGCAGCATTATTACCTTAACAGGTTTTGAACTGCTGCACCAAATAAATGTGCAGGATAGTCTGCCTGGGTTCTAGGAACATACTCCACAGTGGGTGTGCCTGCAGGACCCACCGCGGTGAGCTAATGTAAGGCGTTTCATAGCTCACCTCAGGTGCTGGGGGAGGGGGGTTCTGGAGGCCTGGCCTGGGTTTCTCTCGGTACTCCTCTCTCTTCTGAGCAGTACTGTACTTTTTTTTTTTTTTTAAGATTTATTTATTTGTGCATACAGAACTGAGGTACAGGCCAGAGGTGCAGGGGCAGTGAGAGGCTTCACCAGAGACAGAGTGGGGAGCAGAACAGGCAGATTGTCAAGGTCCACTGCTGAGGGGAGCAGTGGGCGGGTCAGGAGAGGTCTGCCGCGCCCTGTGGGTCACCTCCGGGGCGGGGATTGAACTCAGTGCTGAAGTGGCTTTCACTTCTCAGTGCTGCTCTTTAACCCGCTGTGCCATGGGGGGGGGGGGTACTGTACTTTTAGAAGCTCACAACACGATGGGTCTCCACCTTGTTTCCTGCCTGACTCACACCTTAGGAAAAGGCCCTGAGTAGAAATAGGCCTCCAGGAAAGTCTCTAGGGAAAATCTCCTCTCTGACCCCCACAACACTCTGCGCACCAGAGCAGGGGTGAGCTAGCTGGGAGGACAGTCAGGGCAGGGCGGTCCGGCATTCTGCCCTCCCCTTCAGAAGCACTCAGTCTTCAGCATTCACCCCTCTGCAGGGCTCCAGGAAACATGTGAGGGTTAATTATTTTTCGGGGCTGACTCAGACAGTGTTTTCTGTGCCAGAGAATTCTGTCAGCCAAGCACGCACGGTTCTGCTGTTACCCCTCTGAGGGAGTCTTTGGAGGCTGTCAGGGAGGAAGCCCCACTGGCAAGGAGGCCCAGGCCCTTAGCCTGGGGTGGGGCCCAGACCTGAGCCCTCAGGGTAGGGCTGGTTGCCAGGGAGGGGGCTGCTGTGGGGAGAACAGGGGTCTGGGGAGGCCCTGTGTGAGAAGCAGGCTCCTCAACACTCTCACCACCAGGCTGCCTTTCAGCGGGTCCCTGTGGGGCCGCCTTTCATTCTGCTGATTGGAGATTGTGTCTCTGAATAGAGCTTAATGTCCTTTTGAAATGATCTGTTCTTTTAAAAATTTCTCCTGCTTTCTCCACTTGGTTAGATTGTCACTGTGCCCCTGCCTGCTGTAGGTGGAAATTGGGGACATCCGGAGGATAGGGATGTTCTTCAAACACAAAGGGCCTGCCCTAGGGGGCCACGCTGGCTGGCTGAGGGTGGGTGGGAAGCGTCTCTGGGGAAACCAGGCCTGGGAGACATTCGCTCACTGGGGTCAGTGTCGGATAGGAGGGGGTGAGCCCTGGGCGCCTTGGGAGCTTGGCACGCAGGGAGCGAGGCTGTGGAGGCAGGGGGCGGGGACGGTCATCTGAAGGGGCTGAGGGACTGGGGCTGGGCAACGGAAGGGGCTCAAAGAGGCTAGCTGTGCTGTGAAACCTGAGACCGGAAGGGGGTGCGGAGATCGCAGCTGGCTTCAGCCTGTGGCCACGCTGTAGGCACAGACACACAGCTCACTGCAAACTCAGCCATGCACCCAGCACCCCTTCTGTGCTCATGACTCCCGCCAGAGCAAACCTCTGCTTTCGGACAAAAAGAATTCTTTCCACACAAGAAAGGTGAAGGCAGGGCTCTTCTGGAGTGAGGAATGGTAATTATGAGGGTCAGTGCCGCCCTTCGAAGAACCCCAGGCCTCTGGCAAGGCACGTGGCTATGGTTTATCCTGGCTCCCCGAAGCCCCCCACGATGCAACTTTTACCATGTTCTGTAAACGTCAACAAATATTTTTAAAGCAGACGCTACACGCAGGCAAGTATATGACCTATCATTCAATCTTGTCAATACCCTTGTGATCCATTTACCAACCAACAAAGGAAGACGCAGAGAAGCTAAAGTAGCCGGGTAGCAGAGGCAGGAGGCCTGGCTGCCAGTGTGGAGAACACGGCAGGGCGCGGCTCCAGGGAGGGAGCCACTCAACCTGCCGAAGGAAAAAACCGTCCAAGGCTTCAAGGTCAGGGCTCGCCTCGGCTTGCCCATGCCCAGAATCTGGGCGGGTCAGTGCTTACAAGTGTGTCTCACCGGTGTCTTCTCAGGTTCTCCTCCTCCTGTTCTCTCCCCACCCCAGTTACCAACCTACCAACCTGTTCCCTCTCTGTCCAAGAAGACACAGAGACGCTCATCTCACCCTTTGGCTTACCTTGCATTTCAGGGCCTCCCACGTGCAAGGCTGTCGGGGTTTTGAGAATGGACAGACAGATGGAATCTTTGCCTTGTAGAGCTCAGTTCTGATCAGGTCACAAATTTGTTTATAAGGCCAGGCTCGGCGACTTGTCAGTCCTCGCGTGGATGGGAGAGGTGTGGCTGGAGAAAGGTGAGTGGTCTGCGGCGTTCCCTGCAATAGGAGCGATCGTCGGCATTTAGACTTCATCCGATAGAAAGCAAGGCTTTAGTCTCTCGTACAGAAATCCAGACGACACACCTGAAACTCACACAGTGTTATAACACAATATCACTTTTTAGATAAAATTTTTAGAAAGAAAAAAGGAAATCTAGAGCAAGTTAGTCCTGGGCAGGTGTGGTGGCCCCATGAAAGTCACCAGGCGCCCTGAGTTGCCCTGGCTTTCTCCAGCACTGACCTCAGCACTGACTTTCCTCCCCAAGGTCACCTCCTGGCCCAAGAAGGCTGTGGCGATCACATCTTCACTCTAGGCAGCGAGACCAAGCGAGAAGGGCAGCCGCCCTCCTCCGTCTTAGGAAGACTTCTCACGAACTCCACAGTGTCCTCCTATCTCTGTCCAGGAAAAGCTTGGACATGCAGGCTTTGAGGACCTTTCCTGTCCCACTAAAAAGCTCAGTTCCGGCCCTCCCTGGTGGCGCTGCTGGTTAAAACACAGCACTAAGAAGCTAAAGCCGCTTCAGCACGAGTTCGATCCCCACCCCAGAGGTGACCCACAGGGCGTGGCAGACCTCTCCTGTCTTCTCCTGTCTCCCTGCTGCTCCCCTCAGCAGTGTGCTTTGTCAGTTGGCCTGTTCTGCTCCCCACTCTGTCTCTGGTGAAGCCTCTCACTGCCCCTGCACCTCTGGCCTGTACCCCAGCTCTGTGTGCATACGTAAATAAATCTTAAAAAAAAAAAAAGCTAAGTTCCAATTAAGGGGGAAGAAGAGAGCAGTCGCTGTCCAAGCCTAAGCGAACTGTCCGGAAGGGCTTCCTTTTTTGTAAGTTAAAGAGATCAATAGACTGTGGGCTCCAGTTTGCTCTGCATCTCAGTGCCCTTGGATATAAGGGCGAATAGTAATTTTTCTCCTCAGAAACTAGGGAAACCGGGCAGGGTCACCTCCCTTGTTCTGCTTCTGGTTTGCATTAGTCGCCTGAGTCCCCTACAAGGTGGGACCGCCCCCAACTCCACAGGAGCACGCCGCAGAAAGGCTCAGCCAGGGGCCTCTCTCCCAGGGCTGGGTGACTTGGTTGAAGTGGTCCTGATCACACCGTCCAGCTTTGGGGGGCCCTGCTGTGGAACTCAGAGCCCCGATGCTCGGCGTTTCAGAGCTGAGGCGCACAGGGAAAGTTCTGGAGGTGCCAGGGCCTGTGCCCAAGGACAGCATCTTCTTTGTGGTGGGAAGAAGCTCCCCCAGGCCCCCACCCCCGCCTGTGTGCTTAGCGCTTTCTCAAACAGCGCGACTTTCTCTCACGCTGGAGAGTCGGAGGAATGTAGGGCAACTGTGATAAAGCTGCCTGAGAGCGGCTCTGTGAGCTCGGGGCTGGGATCCAGCCCCGCGCCTTGTTTTCTGCCTTGCTGGCTTGCTGTGCCCCTCCCGGGTGTCCATTTCCAGGCGTAAAATAGGAATGATAATGACACCTACTTCGCAGAGCTGGAGGATTCAACAAGATAGTGCTGGTGAGCGCATTCAGCCCAGAGCCTGGAGTACAATTGGTCCTCGCTGAAGATAGTTAAGTTTACATCTGAGAAAACAGAATGGAGATAGATGGCGCAGCCATTGTGAAGACTCAACCCCCCAACAAAGCTGCCTATGAAGCCAGAGAAATTGCAGCCCTGGCATCCTGGCTGGAATCCCAGGAAGGGCTGGGCCCTCACTGCAGAGCAGAAGAGCAGAGCGGCCATGGCCGGCTCCAGAGGGCAGGGCCACGCCTCACCCCAGGGCAGGCCGGGCCCAGGGAACCACTCCCATCTTGTCCTGGGGACACTGCACTTGGAAAAACATTACAGATTCCGTGGTTCAGGCTGCGGAGGGAGGAGGAAAGACTGAATTTCATTACATAAAGCTTTTGTGCCTACTGGACTTTCTATTTAGAGAGACACTTGGCAATCGTTTTCATTAGCGTCTCTTCTTAAAACAGTCTCAGAGAGGTAGCCGGCTTCGCTTTAGAAAGACATCGCTGCAGCTGGCCGGAGCGCCCCGTGAGCGGCGCTTCCCACAGTCCAGCAGGTCACGCACCCGGGCAGGCGCCCACAGGCCTCTGGGCGAGCAGGGTCTCTCGTGCTCAAGTCAGCCACCATCAAGGCTGGAAAGTGCAAAATGTGAGCCGAGAGCACGGAGTGTTTTTTCTTGCAGTTTAGCGCGAGAGGTAAAAAGTAAGGCTTTTCCACCAAGTCCTAAGTGCATCTGACTGCCAGAAAACCCTGGAGCCAGGAGAATGGAACTCTTCCAGGACAAACACACACTGTAGCGCTCTAGACACGAAGGGGGCAGGGAAGATGGCCAGGGGCGACCCCGTTGTCAACACCTGAAAAAAAACCATGGCTGGAATGTGGCCCCAGTGGGAGAGGGGGTCTGAGACAGAGCTGGTCAAGTGATGGCAGCCCTCCAGTGCCGCCTGCCTGCCAGTACAGGGCGACATTCTGCGCATTTCTTCTCTGCACTCACTTTGAGGAGGCTGGGACGTGGTGGGAACCTCCACTGTTCTCCCCTGCGCTGCTTCTAGGCCGTGTGGATCCATGGGGCTCTGGGGACCAGTCTCCCCCGGCGGGAGGCCGGGCCCCCCTTGGGAACGCATCTCTGTGGTCTCAGCGTCTCCACCTGGCCCCGCTCTCGGCGCGCCTGGC